AACGACACTCAAAGTATAAATATTTTTCAAGGGGTGTTTGGGAAAAACTGAAATGAAAAGGGAGTTTCAAAACCTGAAAGCAGTCCCATGTCACAGTGGTCCATGCTGTGTGGCGTCATCTCTGGTGTACACAGCCCCACCTCTGGACTGTGTCCCAGCCAGCTCCTCATGCTCTGCTTGTCATCTTTTCCACTTCACCACGTCCCTCGGTCACCCTCCTGAAGTTGACTCTGTCTTGCTTCAAACTGCCCTTGGTGATTCTTTAGGGTATATTCACCCCTTCATTCTGACATTACGATCTTTCCTCAAAGACCACCTCTTCATGCCAGTTTTTACTTAATGACTCAGCTTTCAGGTGTGAAATTTATGAAATTTAGAAACTGGAAAGAGAAACTAGGTAGGTGAAAGGGTAAAGCACACTGCTTCAGAGACTATTTACTGAAATATGTCTGGACTTAAGAGAAAGCTTACAAAGCGCTCCTTTCCCATTGAGCACATGGTTTATGTTCATGTTCATGCACAGAAATATACATAGTGGTGCTGCGGCTTCACTTTGCTTCTATTCCATTCTCCTAACATTCTTCCACACTATTCGGGCACTTGGCTTGATTCTAACAAATGTACGTCATACTTGTGTTTAGATAATGTTGCCTAAAATTAACCAACAAACCTCAAATGCTTGAAATGAAATAAAATACTCTTGATAAAGCCATTCTACCAGTTTTCTGGAAGCACAAGGATCATTCTATAAAATCATCTCATAGATGAGTGCCATCGTGCTTACATGACCTGTTACTTGGGGATGCGTCTAGAACAGAACCCAAGTGACTTCCCTTGCCACTGCTGCTTTTCCTATTAACCGTGCTTGTAAAGGACTCCAGTTTGGTTGAATACAATGGAATTACCTCAGAATGAGTTGCTAGAAATAGTCTGAGAAACCCAGAGATGTACTGTAATAATATTCCCATATTTTTAATAAATTAGCAAACAAAAAAAAGATTACTGTGGATCCAGTAGTGAATAGGGAAATAACAGTACACTCATCGCCCCTTACTTTTGTACATTTAATATTCTTAGTTTCTATTGGTAGGTGAATCTTATTTAGATGGTTGTCATGGCTAAGATAGGAAGAGTTCATTCTGTACAGGAACAGAAATAGGTTACAGTTCTGCTTTTAATCTTTACCATGCACATGGCTTAATCAAGTTTTTCTGTGGAACCCTATTCATGGGATCCAGCTCAAATGAGTGTTTTCTGCCCTCTTTGCTGTGGTCTTTGCCATTTTGTAGAGATCCAAGGCACTTACTCTGAGATCATCCAAAAGTATCTGAAATACATAATTAATATGTTTATTAATAAATCAGGAAATACTTGCTGAGCAGTTGTATGCTTTAGCTAGTTGTAGGAACTATAGTGAACAACATGAATTTTGTTTGAAAATAATATTTTTTTGTATATTGTTAAGTCCTTTAGTAAAAGGAAATTTGACAGTGTTGCTTTTGTTTTTCGTTACTACTGAATAAGCATTAGTTAATTTTTTCTTTCCAAAAAATCGACATATTGCTAAAAAATTTTTGCACCTCCCCCGTTTTGAATTTGTCCTCCTTTTTATGAAGTAATTCTGTGATCTCTTTATTTATGTATTGGAACCATATGTATTCAGCCAGAAGTTATTCTTCTGTACCCTCCCTCCCACGACTAACCAGTGTTGGGCAGAAGCGTGCAGTCTTTTTGCTGTTAAGTTTTTGTGAAGTAGGGCCAAGAAGCTTTAAACATATTTTGACAGAGATGTTTTAGTCTAGTTATATCTCAATTTGTTCTGACTGAATTGACTGAATAACATCTTGGATTGTCAAAGAAGTGTTGTGTAATGAGTGTTAACTCACACTTGTGCTCATTCTTAGGCTAACAAATGTATCTCCCACCTAGATAGAGGACCCACAATTCAGGAGCAGCTCCCCTGCTCAGAAATTGGGCTCCACTTAGATTATTATTTTTTTTTTTTTGAGACAGAGCCTAAAGCTATAGCCCTGGGTAGAGCGCTGTGGCATCACAGCTCACAGCAACCTCCAACTCCTGTGGAGGAGAGAATCAAGAATCAAGAATCTCCTGCCTCCACCTCCCAGGTAGCTAGGGCTACAGGCACCTGCTACAATGCCTGGCTATTTTTTTTTTTTTTTTTTTTTTTTGGTTGCAGGTTTCATTCTTGTTTGGTGGGCCCAGGCTACATTCGAACCTGCCAGCTCAGCTCAGGTGTATGTGGCTGGCACCTTAGCCGCTTAAGCCACAGGCGCCAAGCCTCTACTTAGATTCTTATCCTTTTGTTTTTTTCTGAGAAAGTTTGGACTTGCTACCTCTTTTGCTTATTTAAAAAAAAATTCTATTAAAAAATTAATTTTGTAAAATTTAAGACAATTTCTGACTTTTAGAAAAGTTGCAAGTACAGTATAACTGCTTTTTTATATCCTGAAATTTGGGAGACTAGGTTGCCAACATGGCGTTCCTCCTCCTTCAATACAGGGACATTCTCTGCTCTAACTCAAAGGTGCATTAGAATGAGAACATAAACACTGATGTTTTACTACCATAGAATCCACATAAGAGAGGTCTGAGAAAACAAATCAACTGACCAAGAGAATTTGAGCACTGTGTTACAGAAAAAGGTCATGATAATTCCCAGTCACGAGAAGGTATATGTGTATAGTATGGAGCAATATGTATACTTACTGACAAGGGAAGAGGCAGAAGACTAGCATGGTAATGGGGCTGCTGTCCATGTGTTGTCTAGGAATCCCATTGTGTGTCTGCGTTCACTTTGAGGCTGATTTATGAGCTCTTTTGACGTCAATCACTTGACCACCAGGAAGTGCCAGCCTTTGCCTTTGCAGATGGCCCTAGTACCTCTTCTCAGAGTCAGCCGTCTTGGTCTTGTTGGTCTGCCTCTTGCCATAGCTTCTGCAAGGTTAATTTCAGCACATCAGAGGAATTCTTTGGATGCATATAGCTTGCAGCTGCCCCCTGCACCATCCAGATGGTCCTGTGTGAATGAATGCCCAGCCTTATTGCTCTGTTGCTGAAGAGAGGAGAACCTGCCCTCTGTGACAGTAGAGACCTACTTTTCCCTATCACTTTATTCCTAAGAAAATAATACTAAATAAAGTTCTTTGTATTTTTTTTCTGATTTATGTTAGAAAGTACCATTGTTAAAAATAGCATTATGTTGTGAAATTGATAGGCTAAAGAACAGTTTTTTCTTAGAAGAATTAAGAAGGCTCATCAATAAGGCCATTTCTTTGAATGAACTATTATAGGAAATCTTAGCTTTGTAACTATTTTCCTGTTAAGTTTTTAATGTACATGTTTCTAGAGAAGGTGTTTAACTTTAAAGGTTTTTAAACATTTAAAGAAATTCAAGAAAAAAATCACATGTCCCATTTAGCTTATAGAACTGACATGAGTTGATTGTTTAATATGTGCATTCATCTGACTTTTTCACTAAGAATCTTGCTTATATTAAAGTTATTACGCATGTGGATACTGATTTTGATATATGTTCCTAAGGCTCTTGCAGACCAATTTGAAGATAAAACTACATCCATATTGGAACGTCTGAAGATTTTCTATTGTTGTCAAGTACCACCTCACTGGGCCATTCAGGTATTTTTGTTATTTGCCATTAGATATGAAAAATACTTTGCATTAGAAAGGTGAATGCATTAGAAAAGAATGATTTAAATTTGTTTAAATTTTTAAATATTTCAGTGGAAAAATTAAAAATATATAGCCAAAGATTGCTAACTGCTTCAGATTGCTGTTTTGATTAAAGTGATGTTAGATTCATTTAACTTTTTAAGAGAATTTAGAAACTATATGAAATAGAACCCTACAAATTAAATAATAGGAAAACAATAAATGCTTTCCTTTTTAAAATGACTTTTTAAAGAAATCAGGTCTTTCTGTGTTGTCCAGGCTAGAGTGCAGTGGCCATTTGTAGGAACAGTCATGGTGCACCAGTGCTTTGAACTCCTGGGCTCGAGCAGTCTGCCCCCAGAGCAGTTGAGATGACGGGCACACCCCACCATACCCAGCTTCAAAATAAATTTTTATATTTTAAAAGTCCTTTCAGGGCGGGGCACTGTGGCTCATGCCTGGACTCCTAGCACTCTGGGAGTCCAAGGCAGGTGGATTGCCTGAGCTCAAGAGGTCAAGACCAGCCTGAGCAAGAGTGAGACCTCACCTCTAAAAATAGCCAGGCACTGTGGCGGTCACCTGTAGTCCCAGCTATGGTGGAGGCTGAGGCAAGAGAGTCACTTGAGCCCAAGAGTTAGAGGTTGCTGTGAGCTATGAAGCCATAGCAGTTTACCGAGGGCAACATAGTGAGACTCTGTCTCAAAAAAAAAAAAAAAAAAGACCTTTCAGGACTTTCTGTTAGACAATGAACCTTATAGCTAAATTATTTACATAAAGTGAAGAAAAGCATTTCCTTGTCTGCACTGTGAGAGACCTACAATGACTCTCCTCTTCCTGAGTGTGTGTGACTGCCCCGTGTGGCTCCTAAAACTTCATATTGGGCTAGAGAGTTTGGTTTCTTGTTTACCTTGTTCACCTGCGTTGTAGGCCTGGTGCCCCTACCCTATCTTGTAAACATTTAGCACTGATGCTAACTTAGACACTCGGTCCAATTTTTTAATTTTAGGCCCGGTGCCATTAACGTTCTAGTGTTGATCACACTCTGTCCGTGAACTAGATCCCTGGTTTTCTGACGTTTAGTGTAGTTTACCTCCTTTCCTTATCTCTTCAGTGGGTTATACAGGGTGTCCGTACGGTCTATTTTAAATTGCACAAGAACTTTATGGACACCCTGTATAACAGCTCATAACAACCAACTTTACCGCACTCTTATTTTATTGCACCAATTTTGTGAAATACCCCCGTTTTACAGATGAGGAAGCCATGATACAGAGAGGTTAAATGGAATCCAGTGGCGCCAGCCAGCAGTTTCTAGATGACTTAGTAGCTATTTCCATTTTAATCAGCCTCCTGCCCTGTCTCTCACAGAGTTGGCATGTAGGTAGTGACTTAGACTTATAAATGCCAGCCCACCATTCACTGGTTAGAATGTAGATCCCTAACGGAATGTTTCTTCAAGTAGGTTGTATTCTTAAACTAGGGTAAACAAGGAGGCTTGTTACACATTGGAATTCACTTTATGCACTGAAGGAATCTCAAGAAAACACAAGCAAATAAAACACTTTGCTGTATCATCTCAAAAGGAGTAGCTTCTTCATCAAGAAGGGGTTAACAGCTGGAATTTTTTTAGCTCAATTTTGACTCTGATCTATGAAGGTTGTTCAGTGCTTCCTATGATGTGGTTGTGGATAAACCTTTCAGACAGAGCTGTTGTCATGACAAAACCTGTCTTTTTTGGAGGTGTTGCTCTTTATCTTGTTCCTGAATAGCAGCATTAGGAAACTTAAACACTATTTAGTTAGAATTTAGGCTACATGTTTATTTTATCTTTCTAGAAG